GAAAGAGGTTGCAAAAATTTCTATTTGTTTATAATTATGCTTATAACATACTAACATACTCCTAGCAGGAAATGTTTAGCCCACTGGAAGCTGACTAGTGCTTTCTTCATAAATAAATATATATATTCCTGCAGCGCTCCATTTAGCTTGAATGTCTGTCTTCTTCAGCTATGCTGGTGTTGCATTTTCATATTTTGGAGACTGCAAAGATCCTGGCATGTGTGTATATGTGGCTGTGTAATGGTATTTTGTTAAGGCATCCTGAAAATTGTGTATTTTCAGTAGAGAAGAAAGTGTGTCCCATGCATTTGTAAATCACATTATCTTGCTATGGGCCATGCAAGGACTTCTTTGAAATCTCCCAATGTCCAAATGGTTTCAGCTCCTGTAAGCAGCCACAGTTGACAAAGCAGAACTCATGCAAATTCCACTGCTAATTCTGTAGACGAAAAAGGGGAAGAGTTGCTAGTGAGTCAGCTGCCTTGGTTAGCAAACATAGACACAATTAGCTTTAAGCCCAGAAAATTGAAAGAACATGGAAGTTAATCTCTCTTTTGCTTCTCTTCGTAGTGTTTCCTCATCTTTCTGTGGGTTATATATTTTTTTAAATGTCACAGAGCATTGAAGAGAGCAATTCTCTCTACTTTATATGTATGTATGTATATGTATATATATATATGTATATATATATATAAAATATGTGTGTATATATATTGACTGCATACGCAATCAGTGTTGCATAGGATAATAACAATAGACAAGTAGGATGGCTAGTTGGGGTAGTGAGAGACTTTCACTTGAAGATATACTATTTTGGGTAAAATTATCAAAATGTTACTTTAGAGACATTTGGTGTTCGAATACCTGTGTATTCATAATTTTGCCAGGTGAATGTGTTTCAAGTCCTTTATATATTATTTTAACACATTATTACAAGTTAAAATATGTAAGGAGATACCAACAGTGGTTAGTATTCACCTTGTTCTCTCTTAAATTCCGAACTAGAATTTTTATTCTTTTTGCAAAGTTGAGATTACATTACATTCCTTATTTTTTCTCCTTTCCCCTCATGCTGTAAATATTTCTTTTTAAACTTGCTTTATTTCAGTGTGTCGAGAACATATCTCAGTAAGTAGATCTGACTGGATCTAACACATTCTTTTTAAGAGCCACATAAAATTCCATAATATAATATATATGGTTTATTCAATCATTCCTTTCCTGATAGACTTCCAGATTATTTCTAGTGCTGCAATAAACTTTCTTACCAGGGGATTAAAAGAGCCCAGTTAAGAATCACCCTATACATTCAGACTCTCTTCCCAGTGTCTCTAAGTCACCGGCACATTCTGTCGGGAAGATCAGAAAGCTCCCTGTCCCAACAGCCCTGTGGGTCTGGGCTGGGCAAACTATCCATCTTGTGGTGGAGCCTGACATCCTGGTCACTCAGCATCAGTGACAGGCTCTGAAAGGAAGATGGTGCCTAATAAGAGTTTGGAAAAGGACCAAGGAAAGCTCTGGAGTAAATTAACCTGTTGCATGACCTCCCTGCATATCCAGTTTTGTTTTGATTTTAAAATGGTAATTAATGAGTATAATGTTGACAAACTTTTTGGCTTGTGATGGTCTTGTTTTCTAACACCAGTCGACAAAAAAGGACTCATTTAGAACGCCTATGCCAAAAATAATAGTATAAAGGCAAAAGCAAAAACTTTCAAGATAGGAGCCAATAGCAAAGAAAAAAAATTGGAGCCCAGAATGTCTTCTTCCATGTTGATGGCCCCCTCGACAGGCCACCTTTTGGAAGTTTTCTGTCAATATGCAGATTCTAACTCAGTACTCCTTTGACAAATCCCATTTTGCTAAACATAAAATGTATAGCATTCAAGTATTTTAAAGAGTGTATCTTAATATTCTTATATCTATTGTTATCTTCAGTTTTACGATTTTGGACTCTCAGGACAGTAATAATCAAGGTATTCGTGGAGCTTCTCCTCCAAGCTTAGCATAGTTGGCTTCTTGGCAGTTACACAGGAAGATGCTTCACAGAAATAAACACTTCATCATGGCCATGGCTTTTGATGTGATGTTAATTGGCTGGGGACAGAATGGGGGCCTGCAAATGGGGTGTGTTTCCAAACTGGTGTCAAGTACTCCTCATGAGCTATAGAGAAGCGATCTCTAATTGAAATTTGTGTGTCATGGGGAGTAGTGCGGGGGGGGGGCTCACAGATAACTAAACATTCAAGCCAGAGAGGAATACCTATGAAAAGACAGGGAATCTCTTTCTTTTTCACACACACACATATATACAGTTGACCCTTAAACAGCATGGAGGTTGGGGCACCGACTTCCATACAGCCAAAAACCTGTGTATAACTTTACAATCCAGCCTCCATATCTGCAGTTCCCCATCTCTGGATTCAACCAGCTGTGGATTGTGTAGCACTGTAGTACATGTTAATTGAAAAAAATCCACATGTAAGTGGGCTTGTGCAGTTTAAACTGGTGTCATTCAAGGGTTAACTGTATATAATTTTTTCTATTTAAAAAGTAATGAAGGGCAGAACCTGAAGTAGCTGTCGTTTGGCTGTGTCTATAAGTATCACCAGGATTTAGAAAGATAGTTTTGTGGTAATCCATGTCATCTTGCTTTCAGAGTGCACTGAAACCGGACTTGCATCCTTGTGTGCTAGGTTAGCAGTTGTTCAACTTAAAATAAGTCACTTAACCGTTCTGAGCCCCAGTTACCACATCCATATAGTGAGGGTTATTTCTCACTACCTCACAAGGATTATTGGGAGGTTTATCTGAGATAATAGATGTGAAAGTGTTCATGTAGTATTGAATAAATTCTGGTTTCCCTTTTAAAAAACTCAAGAGGTCTTTCAATAGGAAGATGTTTCTTGTTAGGACTAAGGGGGATATATAGGAGGTGGTGGCATAAATAAAACTTAGTGAGAAATGAACAGCGATGCTGGTAATCAAACATATGGTTTTATAGTTAAAAAGAGTTTCCATGTTCTTTATCTCATTTGTTCTTCACTAGAATTCTTTGGATCAGTCAGGCTAATGTTTGTATCCATTATATAGGGGAGGAACTGTGACTCAGAGAAATTAACCAATACCACCTTGCAAGCCTGTCATGGAGTGTTCTTTTTGACTAATAGTCCAGTGCCCTTTACTTTATGTTGTCAATACCAGACAATTGGCAAATACTCAACAGTTAGAAGTCCAAAATTATGTCTGAAAATCTAGCATTGTTCTCAAATTGTCCATGATTCCTGGAAAGATGAGACTATCTGGGAAAGTAGCCTAGACTCTACTCCTGGACTCCTGAGGCCCACACTAAGCTTGATGTGCATTTCTTGGTTGCTATGGACCAAAGAAATTGTGTTTCTGATATCAAATGCACCATATTTTGTGACTGTTTCACTTCATTTTTAGCATTTCCTGAATTGCAGTTAACTGATTGGAAAGGGCTCCCTTCTAACTGAGGTGAAAAGTTTGGTTTGCATCGTGTAGGCCAAGGTTCATATATTTCAGCCCTCAAGTATCGCAAGTGAGTATCTCCATCTCTTGGTTGATACTCAGCACATTCTGTGTTATGATGTTATCTATCCTTGTATGTAAACCTTTTTTCTCCCCTGGGAGAGTACAAGTCCCCTAAAAGAGGAGAATAAATCATTCCTCTGTACTCTCAAGGCCCAGCTGAGAGCCTAGCATTTAATGGGTTCTCAAAAAAAAAAAAAAAAAAAAGAAAGTTTGCTGCTGCTTTTGAGATACTCTTCAGTGTTGACTTCTTAGGAAAGATTCGTTAGAAAACATCATATAAAAGAGAGGGCTAGGGCTTCCCTGGTGGCGCAGTGCTTGAGAGTCTGCCTGCCGATGCAGGGGACATGGGTTCGTGCCCTGGTCCGGGAGGGTCCCACATGACGCGGAGCGGCTGGGCCCGTGAGCCGTGGCCGCTGAGCCTGCGCGTCCGGAGCCTGTGCTTCACAACGGGAGAGGCCACAACAGTGAGAGGCCCGCGTACCGAAAAAAAAAAAATAATAAAAGAGAGGGCTAGTTTTAGAATAAGCAATGTCTGCTACCTCCCTCGCTGTATAGTGAATGGTCTCTTGAGAATTCTTCCAAAGAGAGAGACAATTGCTAGGAAGATAAAGGATGCTTAGAAAAGCACTAGTTATTACCATGTCCACTTGAAGGCAAGAAAAGGTAACACAGGTTCTCCTCTCCCAAACACGGACATGAGTCTATTGAAAATTAGGTCTGAGACTAGAGCAGATAGAAATACACAGCTGCCACTGGGGTAAAAAGCCTTTGAGATAAAGTTGAATTTCTTATTTCTAAAGAGTAAGAAAAAAGTGTGTTTTGTTTGGTCCTTACAAATTATAGTGATTTGGTTTCAGCCTAAGCAAGCACTACAAGCAAATACTGGCAGGCAGAGTCTCCACAGGAGTGGCCAAGCAAGTCAGTTTGCATTTCCTTCCAAGCCCTCATTTGGCTGATGCATCCATAGAAAAGCAGAATAAAAGGCAAGAGATTACTGCACCCTAAAGCATCCAAGTGGCTCCTTTGGCTCTGAGGTTATTTATAGCAATCTGGCTCACACTGAGGCCTTCCTGCTTTATTCAGCGAGTGTACAAAAGTGCAAATAGAAGCTCCAGGACCTTAGCATAGACATAGATGCAGGGTACGATCAATGATTAGATATTCAGAGCTTCCGTGTTGTTGATGTAGCCATGCCTTTTAACCCCCACCAGTGTGAACGTGGACCTTGGACTAGACTCATCCTCTTCTTCATGTGCACATTCTATTTGTAGATGTTGCTATGAGGACAGATTCATCAAAAATGACGGATGTGGAGCCTGTGGTCAACCATTTTGCATCATCAGCAAGGGCAGGCCGCCGGAATGCTCTAGCAGACATCCAGGGTTCAGCTGCCACAGGCGGAAGCTCGGAGTTGCCCCTCAAACCGGAGGTCCTCTCCATGAAGGAAGGTAACATTCAAAATCCTCTTAAAATCAGCAGCGTTTCTCTCTCCTTCATCCTTCCCTCTGGAACAGTCTCCCTTTTAACTAGTTAAGCTTGTTTACTAAAGCTTCTCAGCTTTTGTTTAAAGCTAAGTAAATTTTTTTTCAGCCTTTCTAAAAGTGGGCTTTTCCTCTTATTATCTCCTAGATTAAATGTGGAAAATGAACATTTATTTATTCGTTGGATGTGTATAGTTATGCACAGTGCTAATGATTGGGAATACAAAGGTGAACAAATATAATCCATTCCTTCAAACAGCTTACAAAATTTCTTGAGAAGCTCTCAGAAATAAAGTAATTTTTCTTCTGCCGTCCATTCGCAAATCACTTTGGAAGCTTCTGCTTCACTGTAGTATTCTACAAGCTCTTCTATTTCTCATAGCTAAGAATAGGTTTATTATCAACTAGAGATGGGAACTTTAAAAGTTGATCATTCTTTAATCAGTAGAAAAAGTTGAATTCAGAAAAAACGAGAGCTATCAAACCAATGAAGGAAAATCTTGGGTCTTTGACCCTGTTGCTTACATACAATTCATAACGCTTCCAGCGTTCAGTCTTGTGAAAATAAATATAATAACACTTACAGTAAAGTGTTAAGAGTCCCTTCACTTAAAAACATTCAAATAGCTTAAAGAGAGTTTTAGTACCAGGTCATTACCAACATACCTGTGCTTTGTACCCCATTTTAGACTTCAGAGTGGACTCCAGTGTGTGTGTAAAAATTTATTACTGGTGGCAATGAGGCAAGAGAGAGCTGGAAGCTTCTGCACCTCTACCCTATTCATATGAGCCCTAGAAGAGGGCTCTTAGTTCTTTGCCTTTGGAGGTGCCTCTTTGCCTCTGGACTTTCTACCTGGTAAAATGACAAATGTTCCTGGTATGATCTTTATGAAATACTTATATCCTTGTTAGGCCAGGGACTGTGGCCAGACCTTGGAGTCCCACGGTTACCTCACCTTTTTCTAAAAATCATTGTATGTATCATAAAGGGTACTAAAGGAATAGTAAAAGAGTATACACGTACACGTAAACTATCATAAGATAAAAGAAAAGATGGAGGAAATGAAAGAAGAGGAATAAAAATATGTGTAATGTTTTTGGCCTTTTAAGTTAAAAAATGTAATCTGATTATCAGGGCATGATATTGCTGTCGAAGAGCCAACCTCAACTAGCGAGGTAGAGAAGATAAGTTACTTGTTCATGTAACAGGCCTAATTAAAGTTGATAGCCCCTAAACACACACACAAAACCTTAATGCTATTGACATTATTTAGTTAAACAAAAGAGAAAAAATACACTGTAAGAAAGTTAAGTAGTGTCTTCATTTTATTTTGTTCACGGAAGAGGCCATTATCTGAAAGAATATTGTTTCTATTTTTACGTTTTTCTTTAAATCATTTTGAAATAAAGTGGAAGGTATTAACTAAGAAACTCAAAATGTTAAAAAGTGAATCAACATAGTAACACCGGATGTTAAAGAATACACAAAAGGAAGTAAGTTTATGTAGGTAGATGGCATAGACAATGTGTCACTAACAAAGCCATACATAAATAGCTTTAAGGTCTATCTTCTTTTTTTATTAGCTAAGTACAGACATTAAGGATTTAAAATGAATAGTTTTCAATTGCTAATAGTAGCAAAAATCTAGGGCCTGTCTCAGACATTATGATTTCAATGTTTTAGTCATTTAAAAATAGAAATTCTGGGACAGATCTGCAAGTTTCCCTCAGATCAATCCTCTTTCGTTTTTGTTTTTTGATATTCTTAAGTGGGAAGAAATCTAGGATCTCAGACATCCTGCATCCTGTGTGAAATTAACCTGCCTGAAATCTTCCTAGTTTATAATCCATCTTAATCTATCCCTTACAAATTGATAACCATGGTAGGGAGGACGATGATGCCCTGTAACATATCAGCAAGAGGTGACAGAGGGTGGCAGCGTAGGAAACTGTAAATGTCACAAAGGGCCTTTCTTACCTCCCACCATCACTAACTAAACTGTTCATTTGATCCACCATTCAACTTAGTGCCAAGTGCTAGGCACCATTCTAAAAACCGGCCATATAGTAGTGAATAAGACAGACATAAACTCTTACTGTTATGCATCGTATATTCCAATGGGAGAGTTAGAGTGTAAACAAATAAATATATAAGTCAACAGTGATATGTTCTATCAGAGAATTAAAATAGGATGCTGCGTTAGAGAGTTACTGGGTGGCTACTTTAGACTGAGAAATTCCAGATGTCCTAACTGAAATCTGAATGGCAACAGTAGGTTTTGAATAACAACTGAATGGTCCAGGCACAGGAGAATCAGAGGGAAGAACATTCTTTGCAGAAGGAGCAGCTTGTAAAAAACTCTTAGAGTGGAACAAGGTGGACGTGTCAAGAAGCATAAAATCTGGCCACCATGGCTCGGAGGCAGCGGATAAGTGGGAGAGTGGTAGAGGTGACACTGCAGAGGAGGCAAGGACTAGATCTCTTAGGGCTTCAGAAACCTGGATGAATAAAGAGGATATTATTCTAAATATGAGGGTTTTCAGCAGGGGAGTGATGTTCCTGTTTGAATATCCACTTTGTTATGTGGAGAATGGATTGTAGAAGAGAGATAATGGATAGAGTTGAGTTAGGAGGTGCAATCCCCATTAGGAAATGTTTTGGGGCCAAATTAAACATTCAGACTCATAAGACCACATCTGGTGCCAGTCTGCTCAGAAGTATACAGGTTTAGAAACACAGCAGGCCAGGAGGGCTGCATTACACCATCTCCTTCTGTGGAAGTCCTTGCAGCAATCCACATAAGCAGTCCTGGGGGCCAGTCTCTATGCAGCTCCACCCCACCACTCACTGAGAACTCAGGTGCAAGGGGACAAGATCTGCACCAATGGGGGCAACGGGTTAGAAGCCCCATGTCCCATGGGGGCTAATACTTTGTAACAAGTCCTTGGACACTGCTTCCTAACTTCTCTGCAGGGGACATGCTCAGTTATAAGTGTCATGGCATTTACAGAATCCCAGTGCTATGGTTTCCTACCAGGTATTTACAGTTATCATATAGTTTCTCTCAGGACAGTTGTACTTTACCATTTGGGTCATTTTTACCATACGCTTGGTAACCAGGCTGACATTCCACCTGAATCCGGTTCCCAGGGTAACAGAGCTAGGAAATTAACCCCAAGTCAAATTTGTCCTTAGAGAAGGATAAAGGGCTTTGTTGACTTTACCTGTGGGAGACTTGCTGTAGTCCAGTGAAAGACGATGGCTCTGAGTAGGCAGTGAAGATGGAGGAAGGTGGGTGGATTTGTGATACATTTTATAGGCAGAATTCATAGGACTTGCTGATGAATTGGAGGTGGTGGAGATGACTACAAGTAATGAAGAAAAATGGAGGATAATTCCTGGAGCAGCAGGGTAGATGGTGATGCCATATACTGAGAAGGGCCAGCATGGAAGAAAAGCAATTTTGAGGGTTAGAGGAGTGGTATCTGCTTCTTGCATATTCCATCTAAGAGGCCTATGAGACATCCAAATGCTGTCAGCCCTACTTTCAAAATTGGTTCAGAAATCTGCCATTTTCTCCTTCAACGATCTAGTCTCTTGGTACCTCTCCAACCCCATTTTCCATCCTTTCTTTCTCTGCACGGTCCCAATTGCAGTTCTTCCTGCACGTTGCTGCCTTTGACCTTGACGTTTTCTCTTCTTGGAAAGCTCTTCTTCCTGCTACCCAACTAGCGAACTCCCGCACCCCCTCAGGTCTTTACTCACATGACCCCCTTCTCAGTGAGGCATTCCCAGCCAACCCTATCTAAAATTGCAACCTCCAGGCCCCAAGACTTCTTGACAATTCCTGTTCTTTAATTCCCTCTGTAGCACTTCTCACTTCCCACATGCCACTCATTTTACCTATTTTAGTTCTTGTCCGTATTCCTCACAAGAAGTTCCCTGAGAGCTGGAATGTATGTTTGTTTGGTTTCTTTTTTTTCACTGCTTGGTACATGGTGCTTGAAAGTTGGAGAACTGAATGGTCTATATAATTTCTTTTCAAAGATACCATTGATGATTTTGGCAGGACCCATTTTGCGAAAGTAGTAGAAACAATAGTTTTGTTTTAAAATGATGACAGCAAAAGATATATTTTAAAGGATAAAAGAAAAGCCAGTAAGTGGAGGAATTGCAGTGGAAAGAAGGCCTTTGTTAGTCTGAAGATGGTAGTGACTTGAGGAAATGACGGAGCCCCGAGAAAGAGCGAAAGTCAGATGAAATGCAGGGATTAGAGATGATCTTGAGAGTGCTGTTGAGGCAGAAATGGATAAGATCCTGGCTTGTGAAGAAATTAGACCTGGACAGTAGGAGCAGCACCAAGGCCAGCTACAAGGGCGCGCTGGGTGGGCAGCTGCGCAGGGCCTCGGGCTCATAAGACGCTCGCCCTTGGTTTTGTTCTACTGTTGCTGCCTTGAAATTTTCCATATTTTTTGAATAAGGGGTGCTGTGTTTTCACTTTGCACTAGGTTCCAACAACTCATGTATCAGTCCTGAGGAGCACATCTTCCATTGTAACATGGGCAGAAGGAAAAAGTCGAGACTGCAGGGGATTTTAGAGGTTTGGTGGCAGAAAGTTGAGCTTGTGTGATCTGATTGTTTGACTTTTTTTCCTGGAAGTAGAAAGTGCGATTAAGTCCTAAGAGCAAAGGAGATAAAAAGTGTAAGGAAGCTAGAGAGTGTGTGATCCAACATCGAGAGATGGGGAAGGGCAGGGTCAGTCAGTCTGCATCCAAATTGTGGCTCTGTCACTTACTAGCTCGGTGACTTTGGGCAAGTCACTTAACCTGTTTATCCTTCAGTAAACTAATCTATAAATGGAGATTGTAATAATACCTTTGAAGACCGCCTGGCACATAATAATTCTGGAGAATAGGAGAGAAAGTTAACTAAGAGACAGACCCATATCTCTTTCCTTTGTGTAGTTTCTACATCTGCACTGACGGCAAAGTATGTCCTAATCAAGTAGAAAATGACTAGGATGCATAAAGGAAAAACCAGCTGCTTTATTCCAATATAATACAAAGTAGATTTCAGTATATTCTCTATATGATGGAAAATTATTTGTTTTTTTAGATGTGAAAAAGAAAGATAAAGAAACAGCACAAGACCAATTGGAAAAGCCCAAAGATGAAGGAAAATGAAGGCTCATTACCTATCAAAAGTGCTGAATTTCTGCACATTGAAAGACTTAGTTGCTCTGCTTTCCTGAGATGTTTGGTCTGGTAGTAACTATGGTAACATTGCTGCCCTAAGCAACATGTGTGTACTAGATAATTTTGTTGTGATACTATTCACTTGGATTGCAACCGTGATGTCCAGTGTAGGTTATTAAACGGCAGATTACTTCCGAATTGCACCCAAGAGAGAGGTTAAGAATGCATGGTCACTTAAATACATATCATTGTCAATAAACCCAACAAAATCCGACGTTCTCTTTTGTATTTCTTTAGCCAGATATATTTTTAACTCCATTTTTATGGTAATGGGTAAACCATTTCTTGGTAAATATGAGCCAAACACTATTAATTTAAAACTTCATGGGATTTGTAGAAAATTGTGGTTTTGGTGAGAAAGAATGATAGAATAGTAAAAAATGCATCAGTAAAAGTATGTTTGTTTTTATCCAAAAATGCACCATTTTTTTCTCAAACCTTACAAAGATTTGGAAAAGTAGTAAAATTTGACAACTCAGACATCTCTAGGAAGTTTTTGTTTGATGTATTTTGCTTCTAGTCTCTGCATACTGATTTTTCATGTGGACTCTTAATATGGAAAATTTGTGATGAGTAGTTAATATGGAATATGCCTATTAAATGAATCTCGCAATCTTCCTTAACTTCAGTGTGTGTGTGTGCATATATTTTTCTTTAATGTGAATTACACAAAACACTTTACTAGTTGCTTTATACTGTCCTTTCTTATTGTTAGGGCTTTTGTGTATGTGACTCGTTTCTAAAATAATTTCCTCAGGAATGCAGACATTAATTTTTATATCTTTCCTAAGCTAGCTAACATAATAGTAAGCACTTAAGTATTTAGTGAATGGTGTAGGTAGAAATAGCAAAATACTTGCTTTTAATATTTATTTAAGTATATATTTTAAAAGGATGAAACCAAAGCTTTAGTAAATTTTGATTTATTAGACATTTTAGGAAAATCATAGAATTCTGAATTTTTAAAGAAAATCTGACTAATGAATTTATTTTTATTTTCAGATATATATGCATGCCATATTTTATTTGATTGTTGATTTAGGCCATGTCTGTATACAGTAATCAAATAAACTCTTTCACTGACACAAGGCTTCTTCATTTTCTCTCCTATAGTATAACAGGTGAAAAACAGTGACACATTTTAGCAAGGGAAGTTGATAGTCTTTGTGATATAAAACACCTCCTGCTTCTCATTTCATTGACAAAGTTTATCTTTAAATCTGAGAATACACCAAAGGGGTAGATTTCAAAAAATCTTGTTATAAGTTCTTAAACATAAATTTTTCTTTAAAAAATAATCAAAAGTAATATTTTGGGTGTAGTACTAATTTAACATTCAATAAAATGTCTTATAGCCATTAAAATTAGGTTTCTGGAAGTTATTTAATGACATGATATTATATAATCAGTATCAAGAGGAGTTAGGGTAGAGTTTTCAAGTTTGGGGGGGGAGTAGCAATTTTGCCTTCTGGAGGACATTTGGTAACATCTGGAGATTTCTGGCTGCCACTAGTAGGGAGGGGGCCAGGGAGAGAAGGTGCTGTTGGCATCTAGTTGGCAGAGCCAGGGATGCTGCTAAGATGCTAAGCGTCCTTCAGTCCTGCAGGGCAGACCCTCACAGCGAAGAACTATCTAGCTACAAGTGTCAATAGTGCTGAGGCTGAAAAACCCTGGAATAGAGTGAAACTGTCAAGCATGTGGATTTTGGATTCAGATGACCTGGGTTTGAATTCTAGCTCTGCTACTCATTAGCTGTATGATCTTGGGCAATTTACACCACGTCTCTAAGTTTTATCCTCTTGGAATGGTATTAATAATAGTACATACTTTATAGGGTGAGTGGAAGTAGGAAATGCAATAGAATATGTAAGACACTTGGCTTATGTCTGGCAAAGAATAATTATTCAATAAATATTAGCTATCATCATCATTGTTTTTATTCTAGATGTTTTTGCCATTATTTTCTGGATTTGTTAACTTGGCCATCTTCTGCCTTCCTCTGTGATTTCACAAACAGCCCCAATCTCAGGGCTGGGAGAAGACACTCTGATGGAAATTGACAATTCATGGTAATTACCACATTAGTGCCTATTCAATCATGCTAATGAGCCACTGACAGGTGATGAGTATTACCTTTTAACAATGAGTCACCTCCCTAGTGTTTTATGACAGTTACTGATACAGAATTTTTTTTTTTGCGGTACGCAGGCCTCTCACTGCTGTGGCCTCTCCCGTTGCGGAGCACAGGCTCCGGACACGCAGGCTCAGGGGCCGTGGCTCACGGGCCCAGCCTCTCCATGGCATGTGGGATCCTCCCGGACCGGGGCACGAACCCGTGTCCCCTGCATCGGCAGGCGGACTCTCAACCACTGCGCCACCAGGGAAGCCCCTGACACAGAATTTTGATTCAGTATTTAAATGAGTAAGTAACGTGTTCCATGAAAATGTAGAAGAGAAAAAGTAACAGATCTTGAGTCATAGTATTTATGTCTCACTTGGAAGATATTTATCTCTCACTTAGAAGACCAGAAATGAAGCCATGTCCCTCCTCATCGTTGCTAGTAATGACATATATTCTTAATCATGTATATCCTGAATCACTTTTTCATCACAACACACATAAATGTCTCATTTTATACATGTAATATTTTGTATTACACAAGGTATCAGGCTTGTTGAATATTTGCCAACAAAAGGAGTTTTTTGGCTGAGAAGGAATCCAGACAAAGAAGAATGAGAGGTCAGTAGTACTTTAAACACAAAATTGAATTTGCCAACCAACTTTAAAAAAATCAACCTCTTTTAGAGAGCCTATAGTATTTTGTCATAGCAAGTAGCCACTTTCAACAGAGCCCCTAGTTGGGGCTCATTAAAGAAAGTCTTCATGCTCATTTTTGCTATTGTCTGTTTACAAGCCACTTACTTTAGTCAACAGCTATAAAGTCTTAATACTGTCAGAGAAACCAGGACAAAAGGGGGCAATAGAACTATAAAGGGACTATATGGAAACTTGACTCTATACCTAGGAGGAGAAAGAGCAAAAACCATTCTGTCATGTGCCCAGAGATTTTGTGTGTGTGAGATCTGGACTGGAAAGGCTTGAACATTCTCAGAATGTGAGTGGCTACAGGGAGAGAGGCATCCTCTTTGCAAGAGGAGACACTGCATTAGCTTTCAGTTTTGCCAGCTCCGATGGCTTGGGCAGCTTGGGCAGATGATGGTGGAGAGAGAGAGAGAAAAAGAACAGAGAGAGAGAACAAGAGGAAGAATTACTGAAGCATACTAGCCTGTTGCCTTATCTGTGGAACCTGACGCCTCAAGTTCAAAGTACAGCTCTGCCATTTGTGCTCTTGACTTAGGTTATTTTACTCTCTGTGCTTCAACTTCTTCACTGTATAAAATGGTGAATTATTATGAGAATTAAATGAGTGAATACTGGTAAATTGCTAAGGAAAGTGCCTGATACATAACAAAAGATTATTAGTTATTATCATTAATTGCATGAGCATAAAGGGTGGTGGAGACTTCAAGGTGAACGCCCTAGGAGGTCTGTTGAGTCTTTCTATGTTATTTACCAAGGTAGATTTTTCTGCTATTCCTTCACTCTTTTCTTTCTATGAGCAGTACCTCCTTAGCTAAAACTAGGACTGATTTATCAGAATGCACTCCAGTTTTTTCCAGAGTTACTCTTGATGACTCTCAGAACATCGAAAATCTGCAGCTGTTTAAAAATGGAAGCATTGGCTCAAACAAAGGGCTAGAGAATGTATTGTTGCTGTTAAAATCCTAGAACAGATTGCTCGTTGAGCACACAGTAATAGGAAAAATTATTATTATAGCCATACTTTGAGTGACTGGTGATTACTAAGCACCCTAGTAGATCCTTTTGAAGCTTCATAATAATAATCATACAAAGTGGTTGTTAATGTTTCACATTTTACAGATGAAGAAAATGGATTCAGGGAGTGCCTTTGGGAATTCACTCAAATAAGAAAATGGCAACAGTGGTCTGGGATAGGGCTCTCAGAACCAGGATATGCACTGCCTCTACTGCTCTAAATGGCCCCTTTGCCTCAGACCATCCCATCTACAACTCTTATTAAATTTGTCTGAATTCCACTTAGGGTTCCTAAGAAAATTGAAAAGTTGTACATAGGCAGAAGACATTGATATCTTAGCACGAGCATTTTTATTTATTTGTTTGGCATGTATTTATTCAGTCACTCCTTCATTAATTCACATTTTACCTTATTCCAGAAAAGATTTTATAGGGCAAGCACAATTACCATTTAATTTGCCATTAACTTGGGAGACCCTGAAGGAAAGGAAAATTGGTTGAGGAGCCTATGGCTCTGTAGGGTGGGAGGAAGTACCCGGAAATGAGGCAGAGGGGATAAAGTGGAACTGAAAAGAAGAGAGGCACCATGCTCACACTTGATTCATTTCATGTTTGTGCTGGGGCTGGTCATGATTGTGAAAAGGGCACACTGACATTCTGTAGGAGACACAAAAATAATCTGGCATGAACTAACTATAAGTATCTTAAAAGTAGGGCCACATAGGTGAGTGAAATGACTTCCCTTCTTCCATGTAGATGCAATTCAGAGGCTGAATAATATTTGGCAGTACTCATGGCAGAGAAGCCCCTAAAGTGCTAAATGGGGCTGGGGATGGCTACAGAGGTATTGGTAACCATTCTTCTCAGAGCTAGAAACTAGGAAAAAACTTTTGCCCCAACTTAGAGTGTATGGAATTGACTTCAGCAGCTCTGTGAAGGCTCTCGTGGTGCTTTAGATATATTAGATATTCAAAATTCTTGTTTTATGATAAAATTTTCACCTAAATTGGATTTCTGTTAGTGGAAGGGATTTGCTTTTTAAATCTTTCCTTTCTTTGATATTTGAATATTGTGTATAACAATAAGAGAA